CAATCATTTAAGATTTCTTAGTACATCATCATAAATTATTAATATGACAAATATATATATATATATATATATTGGGTGTGATTTATGTGTGGGCACTCACCAAATTAAGTGTAGGTAAAGGAGAAAACATCTATTTATATACATGTCTGGACCGTAGGGGATATGTGCAGCTGAAAATGTTTTAAAACAAAAAAGGGCAACCCTTTATTGAGATCATATCATATAAACGCATATAGTTTATGCAAAAGTTATAAACTAACTAGATTCAAAATGATTACAGCTAGAAAACATATATATATATATATATATATATGGTGTAGTACACTACAATATTAATGTTAAAGGCAGAAAGGGAATAAAAGTTCCGTGGTTTAGAGAAGGGGTTGTTTTTATGCGTATAAAGCCTCAGCCCTCAATTGAGATTTTAATTTTAAAACGCAGAAATATACATCCAGCTTGCATGCAGTATTGATTATGGATTTGTGCTAGGGGAAAAAAAAAGAAGCTTTTGAAGAAAACTTTAATTGGAATCAAACTAAAAGGAAGAACAAAACTTTTACCCCATTAATCATACCTACTTCCCTACATACATAAATAAAAATCAATTGGTATATTATCTAATTAGACACATCTTTTAACACTTATCTAGTTTAGTTAATAATTAAATATAATACAAATATAGTTAATTTAATTGATTTTTACATATTGTTTATATATTTGTATTTTTAAATTTATCTATTTTTAATTTTAGGTAAAAAATTAATATTTTTTTAATAAATGTGTTATATGAAAACTAAACTGAAGGGTATATTAATCAATATTCTATGTGAATGTATCTTTGAGTTGATAAGTAATAAGAATATTTGTAAAAAAAATTACCCTTGAATCAACTTTTATCCATTCTTATGTATTACTAGTATTCTAAAATGAAGAGGGGAATTGCAACAAATCTCACATTATTTATTTAATTTGTCGTATACAAATTAAAACAAATTAAGACTTTTTTTTTTTTATATCATGATGATCAGTAACTCTATATATATACATATATATATCTCCAAAATCATTTTAGTAGCAGTAGTACTTGGTAAATTTTGCATACTTTACCTAGGCTGTCTAGCTAAGACTAAATTAATGTACATGCTACCTTGGTTAAATTAATCTCACAAATTAAGACCAATTAATGGTGGTTAGTACAAAATTTGTGATTTTAATTATGCTAATGTCGAGTAAAAATTCACAACTTAAATAATTTAATGATTTTTTACATAAAAATAAAAAATTTTAATTCTTAAACCACATAAAATTTGAATAGAATGATTTAATTTATTAAAAAATAAAAAATAATTTCCTCTTATTGTATCCGTATCAGACAACAACGGTTTAGACCAAATTGAATTGAATACTACCATGAAAAATGCCGATCGAATAAATTCGACTACGGAGAAGAATGCGCGCATTGCCGCAGTACCATTAGAAAATAAAAAACATGAGTGGGCCAGCGATGCTCCTTAAACTTCAATTGCAGACAAAAGTAATGGACCATATTGAAGTCCCTGCATTTGCCTTCATCTTTGCCGTGGCCGCCTTTGAATTTTGTTGGGTTCCCAATACTACCCCAACAGCTGGCCACCCTATAAATTAGACCTGAGGACCTCAAGCTCCCCACAACACTCACCACTTGCACTTTGAGAAATCCAGCCAACAACACCACAGGGTTTCTGTATTCTTCACATAATTAGTAATCATGGGATTTGGTGGTAACAACAGGCAGAAGAAGCCCTCCTTCTCCATGGCCAGTCTTTTCAAGCGCCGGCCAGTTCATAGAGTAGACGATTCTTGGGCGGAGGAGCCGGTGAGTGGCCGGAGAGTGTGGCCTAGCGATGAAGACAAACGTTATCAGTGGGTGGCGGAGCCTGGAATTGATAGGAAAGCTTCAGTCTTCATTGCCAATTTCCATGCAACTCGCATCTCCGAATCACTCAGTTGTCAGGCTCCCGATGAAAACGCCTCAACCTAACCTCATCCTCATTTCATTCATTTCTGCAGCCACCTTGCATGTTCTCTCATCGCTCTTTAGCTACTATTTCTCTATACTACTCAATTTGTATTAGCAGTAATTTAATTATAACGTTGTTTATACTGAATAATGTCGTGAAATACTGTAATAAATATCAAATCAATAAACATTTGTAGAGAGATTAATTTGCTTAATTATAGATATCTTCTACATTAATTTCTTTCTCTTTATTATAAAACAAGAACATAATGTTTTTATGCATGATTGATTGGGTTTAAATTAATGCCTTCAAGAAAAAAACAGTTACTAGCTAGCTAGCTGGTATCATGGGACAGCAGATTGTCCACCTAGCTCTTTAATTAATTTCTGCCTCTAAATATTGGACGCTAAAACTAATGGTTTAACCCAATTTGATTTTTTGAAGAATTGAAACCAAACTTAAGTAAGTTGACTGGACCACAACAACACTTTTTCCGGTTATAAGTTTCACGAGGTCTAGAGCTAGCAGGCGAGCGAGCATATGTTGGTGATGAACTTTATTTCTTATTTGCAATGATTAATTGTTACATATTCATACCAAGAGCAGAATTTTTATCCAGAACCTCAACTGGTTACTTTAATTTCTCAGTGATGACTCATTTTCTGATAGCTGGAAAGAAAAAAAAATAAATAAATAAAAACCATGAGAATTGGGAATCTTGCTTTCCATGAACCAGGGTTAATTATGCCTTGCTTCACAATCACCATACCCAGTACTTGAACTGTCAGGTGTCAATTCTTTCCCTTTCACTTCAAGTTACAGAATATCTTATAACTTAATTGCTTTAGTTACAATGATAGATCGATCTCAACCCCTAAATTTGGAAAGGGAATTTTATGTGTGAGAATAATGAATCAAGTTCCGGTTTGTGTGTACTCTCTAGCTAGCACTTTGAAAACCGATGGGAAATGTTGTTTTGAGACCTCCTGAATTCAGTGGGAGGGCATGCTAAAGCAAAGTTAAAAAGACATTATAGAATCTGTCTGTCATCCACTTTGCCTGGTGACCCTTTCTTTTGACTAAGAGAATCTTTACATAATTGAACCTCTCTTCTTTGATCAAATTGTAATATAGCTGTAAGGAATGGTGACCATTTAATTAAATTTGTAAAAAAGGTATGCCTTTTTCTTTTGAAATAAGTTGCTTTGACTGGTGGATCATCCCTCATCATGTGCCGCACGCCTTAAAATGAATGATCGTTTTGAACCCTTCAAAATTCTTCCTGCTTCCACTATTGTATGATTCTTTGCTTTCACTTTTGAATTTTCAGACTAAACATAGTATGGGGTTTGGTTATTTAGCTTAAGATATTTTCAGAGAATCATCTACAATGTAACCTATTTTCTCCTATTCCAAAACTGTACTCCAAATTGTATCAGATTCGATCTCCAACTTCTTTAATCTGTGCTAATATATGAACATTAACCACACATGGATAAATTAAGATACCTGATTTTTCTGTGCATGAAATTCAAGTTTCTACATCAAACATATATACGCACACTAATTGTCCTTGAATTGAAAGGAAATTTTCATTTTTTACGTTAGTTTATGCTAAACTAGTTATTTGAAACTCTAACCACACATTTTTTTAACTTTAAAATGGTTTTGTCCATTCTTTCTTCAAGCAAAAATACACTCAATATTTTTGTTACACCAATCACTTCTAAAAGTAGAAAACAATTAAAATCTAATGTTGATGCTCTCTAAGTAGTGCAATAGTTGAAATAACTTCATTCAAAAGTATCTATACTTCGAAAATAATTAAATAATCTATATATATGCCTTTCTTAATTTACATGTTAGTGATATACCAGTAACAAGAGAAGTAGTTATTGTTTATGCAAATAAATATCAAAATTAAAGAAGGGTAATGTTGGTTTAATCTAAGGCTCCAATTATATAGAGTGGGATTCCTTTTGGTACTATTAATTCTCGGCAAAGGAAGATTCATGTTTTGGAATGAAGCTAGTCAAGTTGGCCCACCAAAAAAGGATAAAGGCCTAAAGAATGTTTAGAATTTGGGAAATCTTTTTGTTTTTGGCTAGATGTGCCTTTTGTGATTGAAGAGTTTAAAGACTTTTGGGAGAATACTGCTTCTGTATTCGGTTGTATTATTTTCTGTACAAGCATATAGCAATATATACACTTATAGGAGCTAATCTAGATGCTATAATTAAGTGTACAATTAAGGAAACTATAGATTGCTTTACTAATATAATGTGACTGTTGCTTTCAGAGCTGTTGTTTCTGTCTCTCCTCAATTTTTGCTGTGTGATTGATTTCTTGCTTGTTTCCATTATCTCTTGTCTCACGCCTTGATTGGTTCTATGCTTGTGCCTTCATACTCTGCCTCAAGCTGGAGTAGGGTGAAGCTACCACTCCAAGCTTGAACGTAAAAGTTGATATTGTTGCTGAGGCAATGGCTTAGTAAGAATGTCTGCAACTTGTTCAGTACTGGGAATATATCTAGTGATAAGTGTTCCTAATGCCACTTTTTCTCGAACAAAATGATAATCTAGTTCAATGTGCTTTGTTCAAGCATGGAACACATGATTAATAGACATATGTAATGCACTTGTGTTGTCCGAGAATAGTTGCGGAGGTGAAGGTAGAGAAATTCCAATATCTCGAAACAAATGAGTAATCCATACCATTTCAGCTGTTGTAGAGGCTAAAGCATGATACTTTGCTTTTGTAGTAGAGCATGCTATGGTAGACTACTTCTTGGAAGACCAAGAGATGCAATTTGCACCAAGGAATATGCAATACCCAGTAGTGCTTCTTCGTGTAATAGGGCAGCCCACCTAATCTGCATCACAAAATCTTGTTAAGGACAAAGCACTGGAAGAAGAAAATTGGAGGCCATACTGCAAGGTCCCCTTCATGTAGCGTAAAATCCTTTTGACTTGTTGTAGGTGATCAAGGATAGGCTTTTGCATGAATTGACATACTCTATTTACAGCATGACACATATAAATTCTGGTTATAGTTAGATATTGTAGCGGCCCAACAATCCTTCTCTATTCATGAGCATCAACGAGGTCACCATCTCTTGAGGTAGTGTTTTCCTTTGTTGCTAATGGAGTAGCTATGAATGATGCCTCCAACATTGAAGCTTGAGTAAGAACGTCACGAGCATACTTTGCTTGAGATAGAAATATGCCACCAGAAAACTTATCAACCTCAATACCAAGGAAATATCAAAGATCACCAAGATCTTTAAGAGCAAATTCCCTATTGAGATGAGAAATTATGTTCTGAAGTAAATCATCAGAGCTAGCCGTGAGCATAATGTCATCCGCATAAACAAGCAAAAGAGCTGTTCCTTTTGGATTATGAAGAACAAAGAATGAAGAATTAGCTTGATTGTAATGAAAACCCATTTTTAATAGGTATAGTGTGAATGTGTTGAGCCATGCCCTGGGAGCTTGCTTTAAACCATAGATGGATCAATGGAGTTGACACACATAGTGAGGATATTTGGGATATTCAAAACTTGGTGGTTGTGTCATATAAACCATTTCCTTGAGCTTGCCATGGAGGAAGGCATTCTTTACATCAAGTTGCCTTAAAGGCCATTCTAGAGTTGTAGCAAAGGCAAGAACCAATGGAAATGTTGTTGGTTTAAGAACAGGACTAAATGTTTCCTCAAAGTCCATTTCTGGCATTTGGGAAAAGACTTGAGCTACTAGACGAGCTTTAAACCTTTCCACTGTACCATCTAGGTTAAGCTTGGTTTTGAAAACCCATCTGGAACCAACTATATTTGTCTCCGACGGTGGTGGCACCAATGTATAGGTGTTTTTTTTATGCAATGCATCCATTTCTTCTTGCATGGCTTTGACCCAATGTGGACTTTGAAGTGCCTTTTGAACTATTTTAGGTTCCATAATATCAGGACTTGCAAGTTGCAAAATAGACTTGTCAATTACTATGGTATTTGCATTCTTTGGAAATATGGTTTTAACATGTCCAGTATGAGCTCCTGTACGGGCTTTTGTTTGCATAGGATGAGTAGAAATAGAAACATTGTTGTTAGCAGGTGGTGACACTCCACTCCAATTCGAAACCACTGCTTCACTAATTTCTGAGTTTCCAGATTGTTCTTGGGTTCTTTGATATTGAATTTCATTTCCTTGGTCTTTAGGTACTAGTTTTCTTTGATTTTCTTCTGTAGGAGCAAGCATAGGACTGTTATTATTTTTCGTTGTCTTTATTGTCCCATTGTCTTGACTTTGTTGCGATGTCTCATCCTCATTAACTGATGGAATTGCATTAATTCTATCAATGGCTAGTTGAGAGTGCTCCTCCTCGCTTATAAGATCTGTGAATTGCTGAGGTAGTGTTGAAATTGAAGGCATGTCATCTATATAAACACATTGAGTAAAAGCATGTAGACATTTATATCCTTTGTGGATTGGACTATATCCAATGAATACACATGGAAGTGACCTTGGCTGGAGTTTATTAGCCACATAGTTGCGAAGATAAGGAAAACAACGGCATCCAAACACCTTTAACATAGAATAATTTGGAGATTTATCAAAAAGTCAGTAAAAAGGACTTCTATTATTTAACAAAGGAGTAGGCAGCCTGTTAATGAGATAAGTTGCAATAAAGAAACTCTCAACCCAATACCTTAGTGGCATGTTTGCATGAAAAAGCGTAGTCAACCTTGTCTCAATGATATGCTTGTGTTTCCTTTTTGGAACTCCATTTTATTTTGGAGTTCCAGGGCATGAAACTTGTTGTTGAATGCCACACTTTGGCAAGTGATTGAGGAATGCTATGCTAGAAAATTCTCCTCTTCCATCACATTGAAATATCTGGATGGTCCTTTGAAATTGATTCATAATCATCTTCTGAAATTTTTGGAAGATGTTGAAGAATTTAGACTTCTTATGTAGAGGATAGAACCATGTGTACCTACTATAGTCCTGCACAAAGATTACATAATACAGAAAATGATGAGTTGATTAAATAGGAGAAGGCCCCCAAAGATCACAGTGTCTTTTATGAAAAAGGAATTTGGCTCTTTCATTATTTCTTGTGAATGGCAATCTACAACTCTTCCCCATTTGGCAACTTGTGCATAAGTGTAGAGGTGTAGTCCATCTTGACACTACAATGTTTTTCTTTGAAGATAAATTCTTTAAAATGTGAGAACTGGGGTGTCTGAGGCGTTGATGCCATATGGAGTTAGCAACCTTATTTGTCACAGTTGCAAGAGCATATTTTTCCCCTTCATCTAAGGCATACAGTTGGCCCTTTTTGGTGCCTTTGGCCAATACCACCTGTGTTTTTTGATCCTTAACCACAAAACCAGAAGAAGAGAACTCAAAGATACATGGACTTTTTTTAGTAAACTTGCTAATGGAAATAAAATTCTTTTTAAGATTAGGAACAACTAAGAGAGACTGACAACATATATTTTACTTGACATAAATCTTTGGATGGTGATTCTTTGAGGAATTTTGAATATGTAATTGTGACTTCTAGTTGTTTAGTTGTTGACAAGTCTTCTCAGATTTTTATAGTTATGGGAACCAACCAATGATTGCCTTTGGTAACTACACTAGGAAATATTTCCTAGTTATTTTGGAGAAATTAGAAAAACTTCTTATGTTATTGCAATTAATCAATCTATCTGTGTGACCCAAAAAAAAAAAAAAATATGCCCTTTATCTGCACACTTGGTAAAGGTATATATGATGTAATTTATTGAGGGCCTTTACTAATCGTAATTAACTAATCACACCATCTCATTTGAAGAATTTTGAATTACTTGTAATTGAGTTTTTCTAATTTTTGTTTTTGTTAAAGGATTTCAGACTTTCGAAGAGTACACTTCACTAAGACTAGGTGGTATTGATCTTTTAGAGTTCAAAATACGTATTCCTTGGTGTCATGACTACATCTTGTGGGACTTTTTACATTCAGGTTGTTCTCTATTAGGTATTTGTTAAAATCATATAGGTATTTTTCCCC